TTTCTCCTAGGTTCGGTAATATAGGGGTGTTGTTCGAGCTACCTTGTCTGGAGTAGTTCATACTGGTGCCAGCATTTGGGGAATAAGAGGTGGGCACTCTCGATGGTCTCGGGTACTTGCTTTGTTTCCAAGCACTTAGAATTTTGGCCTCCTCAATTTTGGCTAGTCCCACTGCATGCTGTAGGTCACGTGGCATGAACATCCTCACTGCCAACTGAATTTCTTCCTTCAGCCCCCTTATGAAGCAACTTATTGCATATTGCTCCGGAAGTTCCACTCGATTAAGTAGTTCTTCGAATGACTCCTGATACTCCATCACAGTCCGATTCTGTTTTAAGCTCTTCAGATCACCCATGAGATCATCATAAAGGCAGTCTCCAAACCTTGGCCCTAACATCCTCACGTACTCTTCCCATGAGGGTGGATCTCTGAAAATCCTACCTTTCATGAAAACTTGATACCATTGAAGAGCTTTACCCTCCAAATGCATCGCAGCAATCCTGACCTTCGCTTCTGATGGTTTTCATCTATTTCAAAAAATTGATTGCACTTGTATAACCAGCTCTTGAAGTCGTCTCCTTCAAATTTGGGGAACTCGATGTAAGAGAATCTGGTCGGAGCCTGATAACTATCCCTACGACTTCCTTGATGATCATTTTCAGAAATGCGTGCGGATTCTTGTTGTCCTTGAGTCTTTTGGCTACAAACTTCCACCAGTAAGTTCCTGATTGCTTTCAATTCCCGTTCGAATTGCTCCCTCTATTCTTGCAGCAAATTCCTGATAGTTTCTTCGAACCTCCGGTTCTCTTGACCTCTAGTGCCTTCTGCCATTCTCACTGGACTTTCCTACCGAGCTGGGATGAATCAGCTCTACTACCACTGATATAGAAGACAGAAAGAGACCAAATTTCCCTTATCAGAAGAGGTTAAAATGGAGAACACCTCTTGGTGGTGAAGGATAGAGTTTCTTATTGATGATCAGATTTAGGAGAGAGATTTTGGAGGAAAATGAAATGATCCAAACATCCGTTGCCTACCTTCTTCAGCTCCTATCCTTTTATGCGTATAGAGAGACGGTGGAAGGAGAATTAGTTATAACTACTCCACCACCTTGCCATATTCGTGCCATGCATGTGACTTGTACGTAACTAATTTCCTACACATACATGGCACTTACTATTTCTGTTTGGCAGTTGCAAGAATTCAAACAAGAAAACAATTATAGAAAGAATACAAAGTCTGCTCATTACAAAAATGCCCATGGTGATTATCTATGTATTTAACACAAGGAGACTAGCTATTGCAACGATTGCAATAGGTAGCCCTTGATGATTTTGAGAATTTTGACCCCAATATCTAACAGTTCCTCGGGACAACCTGCATCATAAAATGTCATCATTTGCATTGATTTCCAACTTTCATCATCAGAAAGCAAACCAAGACGATGTGGAACACAACTCCAGATTTAGGTTGAGAGGTCACATCACGTAATTGAAACTACACTTCCGTTCCTACCATCTGGGAATGACCTTTCCAATTCCTTCCATGCAGTAATGTCCCATACATCATCCATGACTATAAGATACCTGTTTTGCTTCAGCTGCAGGTGCCAGTACTCTAGGAATTAAATCAAGATTATTTTTTGTTAGTTTCTTAATTGGAGTTGGTTGGAATTAGTATAGTTCGGGTCTACGTCTAGCTAGTTGAGTTCCAGTCTAACTAGGATGCTTGATGTCCAATTCCAATGTGGTCTTTGATTCATTAGATGGTGCAGACAAAATCCCTGAGCAATATGGAGACTTGGTGCCCATATATATGTGTAGTACTAGTCTGCTTGTGTGTGGCATGTAAAGGAGCCGAGAGACTTATAAAGAAATACTGGTTTTGCCTCCTGAAACTTTTCATAGTTCTGCTTCTGTTTTGTTGCCTCGCTTCGTCATAAACAGTGCTATTGCTTATCCCTTTTCTATTCCTTATCCCTCACTGCCTAATTAATTCATTGAGTGAAATTTATTTGTTGTTATCCTTTGGGTTGTATGTCTACAAAGTGGTATCAGAGCTCTAGCCTTTGATCCTGGGGTTTGTTCGCAAAATTGGGGCTTGGAGCTTGTTCATGAAATTAAAGTATAGACCCGCATTATTTGCATAATTGTCACGTTTTTATCTTCGATGGTAAAAACGATTTTGAGACTTGGAGGTCGATGATGAAGAACTTGTTCCAAAATATTGGAGTTTGGAATATTGTCGAGACAGGATATACGGAACCGGTAGCAGGTATAGAATTATCAAGTGATGCAGTTAAAGAATTAGAGAGAAATAGACAGTTGGATTGCAAGGCAATGTACTATCTCAACACTCAAGTCTAGTTGCATGTTGCAAAAAAATTTATACGTGCAAAGTGGGCAAAAGAGGCTTGGACAATTTTAGTGAACTCAAATCGAGGTGCTGCTAACGTGAGAAAAATCAGATTGCAGGAACTTAGGAGACAATTTGAGTTGGCCCAGATGAAATCAATGGAATCAATTAAAGATTTTATTGGTACAATTAAAGAAATTGTCAATAATATGGAGTCCAATGGTGAAAATTTGGAAAAGGTTAGAGTTGTTGAAAAAGTTCTGAGATCTCTAACTGTCAAATTTCACACCAAGAAGACGGTCCTTGAAGCCACAAAGGACCTTGACAATTTGTCACTTGCTGAATTGGAAGGTGAATTGTTGACGTATGAGATGTCCCTGAATCAGCAGCCGTCGGATACGATAGAGGAGGTGTTACAAGCCAAGGTGGATCCCTCAAAAGGAAAAGAGGAGGTGAATTGTATGGACGCAAATCAAAGGGGCCAGAACTTCAGAGGTAGAGGACGTGGAGGCAGAGGTAACTTTCGTGGTGGTGGAACAGGTAATTATTCTTACCACCCCAGAAACAATTTTAATAGAGATCAGAAAAACAATCAATAGCAGAATTGAAGAAATAATTTTCACAGGCGTGATAGATCTAATATCGAATGTTATAATTGTGGTAAAATTGGACATTATCAGAATGAATGTTGGTCTAATAAAGAGGTGTATGCTAAAGTGGCTGAAAATAGTGGTGATAGACAGGAGACCTTATTATTTTCTAGTTCTGCAACTGAAGAGTCTATGAAGAATGATTGGTTTATTGATTCTGGTTGTAGTAATCATATGTGTGGTAAAAATGAGATGTTTTCTGACCTGGATGAATCTTTTCATGCATTTGTGAGATTTGGAAATAATGAAAAGGTGCCTGTTCTTGGAAAAGGAAAAATTAGAATTATCTTGCAAGATGGATCCTTGAATTATAATTCTGATTTTTCTATGTGTCAAATTTATATCATAATTTGTTGAGTTTAGGACAACTGTCTGAGAAAGGTTATGATATGCATTTTAAATATGGTGGTGGCACCATAAGTGATGAAAAATTGGGATTAATTGCCAAGGTAAAAGTGAACCGCAATCGTTTGTGGCCTATTTCTCTTAACTGTGGTGATTTACCTTGCTTTAATTCCATGACTTGTGATGATTCTTGGTATGGCATATGCGTTTTGGGCATTTGAATTTTGGGAGTTTGAAATTTCTTGCAAGAAAGAAATTAGTTATTGGGCTGCCTTCTGTTGAGTTTTCTGATAAGAAGTGTGAGTCTTGTATTTTGGGAAAGAAGCACAAGGATCCTTTTCCAAAAGGCAAGGCTTGGAGGGCTAATCGACCGCTTGAACTGATTCATTCAGATTTATGCTCAGTTAAAGTTCCTTCCAATGGTGGTAGTAAGTATTTTATTACCTTCATTGATGATTTCAGTAGGAAGACATGGGTGTATTTTTTAAGAAATAAATCCGATACATGTGATGTGTTTAAAAAGTTCAAATATTATGTAGAGAAGCAGAGTGGCTACTTTATCAAAATTTTGAGAACTGACAGAGGCACTGAGTATCTTGTTTGTGATGACTATTTGGTGGAAAGTGGTATAAAACATCAATTGACAGCCAGATATACACCTCAGCAAAATGGTGTGGCACAAAGGAAAAATAGGACTGTGATGAACATGGTGAAGTCTATGATGCACTCCAAAGGTATTCTTATATTCTTTTGGGCAGAAGCAGTATCTTGTGCTATTTATGTTTTGAACAGATGTCCTCCTAGATGCAATTTTGTGAAAACCCATAAGAGATTTGGACTGGCATGAAACCGGATATTTTTCACTTCAAGGTATTTGGCTGTCTTGCGTATGCGCATGTTCCAGATTATTTGAGAAAGAAATTAGATGACAAAGCAGAGAAGTGTATTTTTATTGGATATGGTCATGAGACTAAGGGGTATAAGTTATTCAATCCAAACACAGGAAAGGTGATTGTTAGCAGAGATGTAACGTTTGATGAACATAGTGTTTGGGATTGGTCCAGAAAAGATCTTTAGACATTGCCAAAGTATCCATCCTTTCTCCCATTATGGGACCGAGTGCTAGTAACCAAGTTGTGGAGCAAGTTGTGCACTTTTATGGTGATCCCTCAACTTCTACTATTCAGGTTGAGACATCCAGCCAACCACAGAGAGAACGCTGCATGCCGGCCCGATTTGTTGATTATGTTGTTGGCAAAAGATGATGATTTAACTGATGAAGTAATTGTGAATTTTGCTCTTTTTGCAGATTGTGATCCTGTCTCATTTGAAGAAGCTGTCAAAGATGATCGTTGGGTTCGTGCAATGGATGAAGAAATTCATGCCATTGAGAAAAATGATACATGGGAGTTGACCACTATCCCACCTGAAAAGAAGCCAATTTGAGTGAAATGGGTATATAAGACCAAGTATAAACCAAGGAGAGGTAGATCGCTTCAAAGCGAGATTGGTTGTCAAAGGCTATAAGCAGAAGGCATGTATTGATTATTTTGAAATTTTTGCATCAGTTACCAGACTTGATACGATTCGTATGATTGTATCACTTGCTGCAAATAATTGCTGGAAAATTCATCAAATGGATGTGAAAAAATGGTTTCCTTGAAGAAGAGGTATATGTTGAGCAACCTGCAGGTTATGTTAGAAAGGGTCAAGAAGACAAAGTATATAGATTGAAAAAGACATTATATGGTTTGAAACAAGCTCCTAGAGTTTGGTACACTCACATTGATACTTATTTTGTTCAGCATGGTTTTCTGAGATATCCGTATGAGCATACTTTGTACATCAAATTCAACCCTAAAGGAGATGTTCTTATTGTAGGCTTGTATGTGGATGACTTAATATTTACAGGCAACAGTCTCAAACTAATTTCTGAATTCAGGGAGGCCATGATTAGTCAATTTAAGATGACAGATTTGGGATTAATGTCTTATTTTATTGGTATTGAGGTTCGTCAATTGGCTGGTGGAATTTTCATTTCCCAAAAGAAACTTGCAAGTGATATTTTGAACAAGTTTAAGATGAATGTGACTAAACCAATGATGACCCCCGTTGAAGAAAAATTGAAATTAACCAAAGATGGTACTGGTGATTTTGTTGATGCTACTTATTTTAAGAGGTTGGTGGGGACTTTCAGGTATTTAACTTCTACGAAGCCTGACATCACGTATGGAATTGGTTTGATTAGTAGATTCATGGAATCTCCATGCCAGTCTCACTTGCAAGCTGCTAAGAGAATTTTGAGATACGTTCAAGGTACGCAATCTAACAGTATATTTTATTCATCTTCACAAGGTAGCAACCTTGTTGGTTACACAGACAGTGATTGGGCTGGTGATACAATACGAAGGAGGAGCACTTCTCGTTATGTATTTTATTTGGGATTTGGTGTATTCTCTTGGTCTTCAAAGAAACAACAAGTGGTTGCTTTGTCCACAGCAGAAGCAAAGTACATGGCGGCTACGAGTAGTGCTACTCAAGCACTTTGGTTGCGGAAATACTTAGATTCTTACAACACAAGCAAGATGGTCCTGCCAAAATATTTTGTAATAGCATGTCTGCTATTGAGTTCACAAAAAATCCAGTTTTTCATGGGCGCAGCAAACATATTGACATCAAGTATCATTTTATTCGTGAGTTGGTTCAAGAGCAAGAAATTGTCATTGACTATTGCAGAAGTGAAGATCAAGTAGCTAATATTTTGACAAAGCCGCTAAAGTTGGAGATGTTCATGAAATTGAAGAAGATGCTCGGCATGGTGAAATTTGAAGATCTTGATTTAAGGGAGGCAATGTAGGAATTAAATCAAGATTATTATTTGTTAGTTTCTTAATTGGAGTCAGTTGGAATTAGTATAGTTCGGATCTACATCTAACTAGTTGAGTTCCAGTCTAACTAGGATGCTTGATGTCCAATTCTAATGTGGTCTTTGATTCATTAGATGGTGCGGACAAAATCCCTGAGCAATATGGAGACTTGGTGCCCATATACATATGTGCAGTACTAGTCTGCTTGTGTGTGGCATGCAAAGGAGCCGAGGGACTTATAAAGAAATATTGGTTTTGCCTCCTGAAGCTTTTCATCGTTCTGCTTCAGCTTCGTTGCCTCGCTTCGTCATAAACAGTGCTATTTATTAATCCCTTTTTTATTCCTTATCCTTCGTTGCCTAATTAATTCATTGAGTGAAATTTATTTGTTGTTATCCTGTGGGTTATATTTCTACAAGTACACTAATGTTGCTCAAAATCTCAAGCAACATTTCCATATTTTTTATATTTTTCCAGAGACCATGCATGAATGTGAAAGTGATATGTAACTTTAGGATCACTGTATTTCTTTTTTGGCAAGAGTTGTTTTGCCAATGGGAACAGTATGCCAACAATAGGAACAGTATCTTGCCATGAAGATCCTCTTGGAAGTGTATGAACAAGTTACACGAACTAATCCAAAAGGATAACCTTGAGTGCACTCAAGACGCGTTCAAACCAACTAACATTAAGTGTTTGTATGTGATAAAATATATCAAAGATGAATGAATATTACAGTAACCCTAACTGGGCCTATTTATAAGCACATAACTACTAAAAACATATAAGGAATAGGGAAACTACTAAAACTACCAAAATAAAAAAGAAAAGAATAACAAGGAAATTAAGTATTAAAATCTCCATTGGCACATGCTACCTGCTCCGGGGCTGGATCCAAGGCCCACGGTTCAGGCTCTGGGGCCGGATCATTGTCATAAGAGGCCAAAATTTGCCATTGTGATCTGCCGCTGGATCCAGCCCTAGGCACCCTTCTAGCGCGGGTTTTTCTTGGGAGGCCTGAGGATGTTTCACTGTCAGGGACACCAACCATTGATCAACTTTTGGTTGAGTTACCTTATCTAGCAAATCTGAAAATGAACTGATTGATATTTGGATCATCTCCTTTGACAATTTCTTGGTTAGAAAAGTATGATAGAGAGAAATAATCCCACTAGCTAGCTCTTCAAAGAGTGATAGATTCGGTTTCACATCCTCCACCGGGTGATGTTTGACAATTAGTGAAAGCAATTTCAACCTGTTATGAAGTGCTTCAATTTGATCTTTCCCAAATGCAGCTGAACTTCCATCACAAGTCAATAAGTCCAGCAAATATCTCCCTGCCTTGGAGAGAAGAATTCTTAGAAGCATCATTGACAGTAAATTCCTTATCTTCGACTCTGTCATTTTCTCAGCTTGAAACGATTGATAGAGAGACTCTATCTCGCCAACCACTGCCTCCATCACAATCAAGGCTTGGTTCGCATTGTTTAACTCCGTCTGCTGTATATCTCTGGATGATGATGTTCTAAGCATTTGCAGTTCCTTACTGAGGGCATTAATTTGGTCTGCAGTTCTGGTGAAAACATTGTGCTGATACCTACTTGATGCTCAAGGAAGATCTCTACCTTGAGAAGTAAAATCTTCTGCTCGAGATACCAAAGCTTGGCCTTATGCACCTCACAAGATGAAAGACTAATAAATAGGACATCTCGGAGAGGTAAGGCCTCTCTAAGCACTGCCATAATATCTGCCATGCGACTTTCATCCTTCTCAATCGATTCCTCTTGATGATGGAGGGCATAGCTTACCAGGGTCATCAATCCTACATGACGATGACTAGTCCCCTGTTTCAAACGAAAAAGATGATCTAGAAAGAACGTGGTTTTGTAATCAGCTTCTCTAAATGCTGTCATCAATTTGAGGTCTTTCAGGAATTTGAGATTCGACTCAAGAAACTTTGAATCACTAGGGTCAATCTGTTGTTGCAGATCCAAAATCCCAACAATTGCACTTGCTACCGCTTTTGAATTCATTTGCCTGAACCAGTAAATTCAAGAATAATATGCTGTCTGAACAGTAACAGATGCTACATGGTGCAGGAAATCTTTCATTCGCCAGTTTCTATTGCGTGGAATATAATAACAACTTGTCACTTGAGAAAGGAAAAATCTGAGGAATGTCACCTGTTTTCTGAAGGCATGAAATTTTTCTGCTAGAACAGGATCAGAATCAACTCTTGTGGAGATCAATTCCAGAGTCTCTTCTACAGAACCAATAAAACATTTCAAGGGATAATGATTATAAAAGGGCCAAGAATTCTTCAGATGAATGGATTCACTGGGCTGGAAACAATGAAGAGCTGCTTCAGCTTCTGGCCTTAGCTGCTCAATGTTTTTAAGAGACTCACGCATAAAGTGAGCCAATTTGGAAGGTCTTCCTAAAGCATATCTATTTTCACGGGCAAAGTTTAGATTGTGATTTATCTCATCCTCTGCAGCTTCCATCTTAGATATGAGAAATCCGGTACTCTGCACATCCTTTCCTGTTTTAGTCCAAAAGTGACTTGACCACCAAAACATTGTCACAAATCCCCACTCCATTTTAAGGCTATCAATCAGAGATTGCAGAGCAGAGCTCGTAACCTCCTCCTCTAGATCCATCTCCATTAAGCCTCGTTGTCCAGACAACACGCGACAAGCAGTAAAAAGCTGTGTGCAGTGCACTGGATGACCATCCTCCTCATGCGAACCTTTGGTGGCAGCAAGAAAATCATCACTCCTCAGCTGCTGGCTCAGCTCCTCTAGGGCACAAGAAACTCTTTTAAATTTACCAGAAACCTCAGCCATCAAAGAAGTCAATAATTGACACCCTTTTTGCAATCTCAAAACTTTTCACTCTTAGGCAGCAGCACTAATATTAGATGGAGAAAGGAAAAAGGTATAATATGCTGGTTAAGCAGTGCTGATTGCACATTGAACAGGGTCTTACTCTCCTGGGCGGGTATTACTGGAAATTCTCTTATGTGGAGTCTTTGGTAAAGGACTTGGCTTGTAAGCAAAAGAAACATGAAGAACCTATAATAAATGAAGCTTGTGAGTAAGGTGATGAAGGCCAAGTATCTAGCACAACCACAGAACTGGAACAAGGATCCGCCAAGAGCAGCTTCTTGGATCTGGAAAAGCATAATAGGAAGCAGGAAACTGTTGACAGAAGGGATAGGGAAGAGAGTAGGTGATGGAACAACAATCGATATCTGGCAGGATATTTGGATACTAGGGAGTGATGATGGCAAGATAAAAACTTGAAGAGGTCCACAGTGCACCATAAGGAAAGTAGATGAACAGATAATAGATGGAGAATGGAACCAAGTAACACTGAATCGTTGGTTTATAGAAGAGGATATCCAGAAGATAAAGGCTATACCACTAAGTATAACAGGCTACCAAGATAGATTGTATTGGAGATACACCAATTCAGGTGTGTTCACTGTGAAGTCAGCCTATGATGTAGCAATGAGAGCAAGTTAGCAGTAGCACAAGGAAAGGATGCAAGAGGATAGAGGGGGTACGAGTTATGACCAACAGAGCTCAAAAATCTGGAAAGGGGTGTGGTCCTTACAGATGAAACACAAACTAAAACATTTCATCTGGAGGTGTCTACATCACAGCCTGCCAGTAAATGATCAAATAAGCAGGAGAACAGGTAAAGGCAGTCCAATGTGTAGAAGTTGTGGGGAAGAGGTGGAGACAATCGAACATATGCTATTTTTTTTGCAACACTGCTGAAACCACCTGGAAACTAGTACCAATACAATGGGATGGTTTGAAGGATATGAGAAGCAGTTTTGTAAGATGGTGGGAAGGGATATTAGGCACAAAAAAGAGGGAACAAGGACAGGAGCATATAGCGCTAACTGTAAATATTCTCTGGCAAATATGGAAGATGAGGAACAGGAAAGCTTTTGATGAAAAAGATGCAGATCCAAGGAAGTCAGTACAGAAAGCTATGGTAGAGTGGAATGAGTATATAGAAGCCCAAAAAAGTATAGATGGAGAGTTCATTCAACAAACAACAAACTCAAATAGAAGCGAGGAATGGAAGCCACCCTCAAGAGGACGGATAAAGATAAATTCTGATGCCGTGTTTTCACAAAACATGGAGAGAACAGGCATAGGTGCTGTGGCTAGGAATGCAGAAGGAAAACTGATGAAAGCATGGGCAAGAGTTGAACTAAAAGCTAGCGAGCCACAAGTGGAGGAAGCAACAGCAATTCGGATGGGAATGCAAATGGCCTGCGACGAAAACTGGAAGGAAGTAGAGTTCCAGTCTGACTGCAAGGAGGCAGTGGACATGATCAACAAGGTAAAGGAGCATCATACCAGGATAGCTACTATCCTTGAAGACATTGCAAATATGAGATGCTTGTTTGAACAATGTACTTTCTCTTTTGTTCATAGAGCTGGAAACAGCTGTGCACATAGCTTAGTAAAATTTGCGGTAAAGCTAACTAAAAATGTTGAATGGGAAGAGTGTTTTTCCATGTGGCTCCATGAGAGTGCACAAAAGGATTACAAAGGGAGAAATTCTGATGTATCTAATCTTGTAATATCAAGTTCATGAAATGAGATAAATTTATGATGTTTGACAAAAAAAAAAAAGAAGCTTGATAGATCTAGTACAAACAAATACAGATGCTTTTGCACCAATATTTTGATTACAGTAACTCTTCCCTAATAAATGACAGAATTATCCTATAAAACAACCAAATACTAATCAGTACTCAAAAAGCACACATAGATTTTGAATATCTGTGGCAATATGTAAGTACATTTGCGATAACTTGTTGTGTCTACCATACGACCAATAACTAAAATATGTGATAACTTCTTGTTATATCTACCATACGACTATTAACAACAACTATGTCTATGATTATGTCTACTATATGACCATTAACTAAAATATATCTATGGTTGACTGATTGAGGAGC